TACATCTGGTAATCTGAGCAATGTAGTTGAGGACAGCAATATGTAATGTAACAAGCACTGTTAATTCATATTATTTTGTCTTGAGACTCTGTATCACTTTGAATGTTCTTGCTTTGATTTGTTTATGTTTGTGATACTGGTATGCTGCTACTGTTCTATTTCTTTGTTTCTTTGTTTCTCATTTACTACTCTCCTTAAAATAAAAAAAAAATTAAAAGGCTTATTGTTTTCAAAATTCACAATATTTTGTTTTGCTTTGTTTTTCCCGGTACCAGGAATCAAACTCATGACCTCGCACTTGCCAGGCAGGCACTGTGTCGCTGAGCTAAACCCCCAGCCCCCAAAATTTATAATATTTGTACGGACAACAAAATTGTTGATCTGCTCTTGGTAAAATTTACAAAAACCTAAATTTTGCCTCAAAAAACAAAACCTGAGCATGTATATCGATAGATATAATACAGGTCTTATACAGGTCTTTGCTATAAAACAAAGATTTTATATTTTATCAAGGTAATTTCCTATATGTTCTGCTACTGGGCTTTTAATTACTTTTTTTTGGGTGGGGGGTCTTTTTAAGACAGGGTCTTGCTATGCAGTTCAGGCTGGCCTTGAGCTCACTTTGTAGCCCAGGCTGGCCTCGAACTTGCAGTGATCCTCCTGGATTCTCCTGTCTCAGCCTCTTGAATGCTGTTAATTACTTTTAAAACCAGTTCTAAGAGAGTCAAGTTTATTTAAATGTCAACTTATTATAAAGTTTTAATTATATACATCTGAAGACTAGTCTGTTTTGTCAAAATGTACAGTTTATAAACTTAAATATATGTAAGTTTAATATAAAGCAACTAATAAGTGCTCTCTTTTTATATAATAAACACTACTTCTAAACATTAAACATATGTAAAATGATCAAAACCTTCTGACATCTCTGCTTTGTACTTGATACAATTCAGCCCTGCCATTTAAAACTTGATCTACATATAGCTGGAGCACACTCTAGGAGCCTAAGGAGGCAGATCACAAGTTCCAACCCAGCTGGGGCAATTTAGTGGGACCTTGTGTCAAGATAAAAATAAGAAAAATGTCTGTAGATGTAGCTCAGTGCAAAGGCCTCCAGTTCAATCCCCAGTACACATAAACAACCCCCCCCCAAAAAAAAGTGGAACTACATCTATTGGGGCTTGAAATAAACATTTTTAAAAGCTGTATAAATGAGATACATACACTTGTATTTTTGGCAAGTCTATCTGTGGTCATTAATACAAACTAGTATGGGGTCTAAAACTATCCTTTGACTTTTGTCAATGCTATTGCCCTATGTAAGCCTACTGAAGGGTTCTAAATTTTGCCTCAAAAAACAAAACCTGAGCGTGTATATTGATAGATATAATACAGGTCTTATTGTGACTTGGTCTTAAACACCCAGCAAAAAGTATGACCAAAAGGTAAAACAATTCATAGCAATACAAAAACACTAGCAGGTATGGCGGCAAACGCCTGTAATCCCAGCACTTGGGAGGCTGAGGCAGGAGGATCAATGGAAGTTCGAGGCCAGCCTGGGCTACACAGTGAGTCCAGGACAGACTGAACTACATAGCAAGATCCTGTTTCAAAAAAGACAAATAGGCTGGGGATTTAGCTCAGCGGCAAAAGCGCCTGCCTGGCAAGTACAAGGTCATGAGTTCAGTTCCCGGTACCAGAGAAAAAAAAAAAAAAAAAAGACAAATAAATAAATAAATAAAGCAAGTAAGCAAGCTGTTAAAGCCAGGCATAATGGCACAAAGCTATAATCCCAGCACTCAGGAGTCAGGGACAGGAGGATCGCCCCAGTTTTAGGCTAGCCTGGGCAACACAGTGAGTTCAAGGCCAGCCTAAACCACACAGTTAGACCCTGTCTCAAACAAACAAAACTGTTAAGAAAAACTGCAGCTTCAGGACACAAAAGTTATGTAGGACTTCTTCCTTTCCAAGAAACAACACCTCACACACACACCTTTTTTCCTAAGGGTCTTGAAGACACATTAAGCCTGGTCTTGTGGTTTTCACCCATATATTACACTTCCTCCCATGGAAAATGGGCATAGCTCAACTTCAAACACAGGAGATTTGCATTCTAACATAGCCTGCCAGTTGAGTAATCTGACATATGGTAGGCACACACATCCCAGATCACCCACTTGAGGGCATCCCTAAGTTCACATAAAACTCTTAGCCTTAACCAGTGTGCCTCTCCCTTAAGGGCTTGCACTGTGTTCTAAGTGTGTACCTGTTTAGTTCTGCCCTTATACCTCTCACGGACGAATCCTGGAAATTATTTTTCGGAGGGAAGTTAGGGAACCTACAACCTATCCTGTGGGTGAAGTAAACTGATGCTCCCCATCTCTGATTTGAGGACCCCCTTGTGCCCTGACAGCACACTTCATACTGTCTTCTGAAGCAGTCAGGGACTTAAAAAGAGGATTTTTGCAAAAACAAAACAAACCAGAAATACTGACTCTTTGGGTCTACAGAAGCCAACAGGCAACTAAAAGCAGAACGAAAACTTGACCTTTATTTTGCACCCTTTGTTAGTTTAAACCTTGGAGTCAAATCCCTTTTCAGCTCTGTATATAGTTATGCTAATTATTTGGGAAGTAACAGTCAAAAGGGTGGAAAAACAGGTGGATTGGTCTTCAATTTACATATCATCCCCTTTCAAAACAGGAGTAAAAGGGCTGGGGATATAGCTCAGCGGCAAAAGTGCCTGCTTGGCAAGCGCAAGGTCCAGAGTTCGATTCCCAGTATGAAAAAAAAAAAAAAATTCAAAACAGGATTAAAAAAAAAAAAAAAAAGACCGAGGATATCAGCTACACATGGTGGCACATGCCTGTGATCCTAGCACTGTAAGCTGAGGCAGGAGGATGGATGCAGGAGGATGGGGCCAGCCTGGGCTACATAGTGAAATTCTGATTCAAAAAGGCAAAAACAAAGACTGAGGATATCAAGATAAGGGGCTGACACGGATGAAGCCCAAGTCATCAAGTTTCCAAGACAATCTAAATTGAGTGTCACCATGGTGTCAGTAGAGTCTCACGAATGAGACTGTCCCAAGCAAAAATAATCAACTAATGAAAACTTAAATGGCCCCTCAAGCAAAAGGCCTTCTCCCAGGGCCAGATCGCAAAAGCAGAATTAAGATCATGATCAACCAGCCGCATCGCCGGGCGTGGTGTCGCACGCCTGTAATCCCAGCCCTCAGGAGGCTGAGGCAGGAGAATCGTTTGAGTTCGAGACCAGCCTGGGCTACAAAGTGAGCTCAAGGTCAGCCTGAACTGCATAGCGAGACCCTGTCTCAAAAGGAAAAAAAACAAAAACAAAAACCAGCCTCTAGTCCACTCCAGAAAACCTTTAAAATCTGCCCTGAAGGAGGCCAATTTGAGCCACCTCTTCAGATTTGTACCACTAACAGTTTCTTAAACTTTGAAGCCTTTGCCTGCCCTCTCTTACTTTTCATTATGGGGCCAGCATAAAAGAACTTTGTCAGTTTCTCAAGCTTAATTAAAGTCCCTTACCTTTCTCTTATTGTCCAATTAACACCCCCCCCCCCCGGAAATTCTTGCTTCAGTTTTTAACCTTCATGATCAGTGAAGAAAGGATCCCGCGGCAGCCGATGGCACTATGGCTCTGGTTACACCAGAGCAATTATCCAGGCGTCTGTAGAGGTAACCTCAAGGTCTCTTTAACTTGCACTCTATCGCTTCTCTCCCCCGTCCTTGGCAGCCCGCAGAAACCTCTTACGGTCTCATCTCCGAGCGCCTCTCGGTTCATATCCCCCCGGATAACCCGTCACAGCGTCCTCAGAATGTGGGCCCAAACGCACAGGGAGCCGAGCCACGTGTGACTCATCCGCCCAGGCTGCCAAGCCACGCGTGACTCATCCCCCCGCTCACCCTGCCAAGCCACGCGTGACTCATCCCCTAGCAATCTCTTTCCTAAAGACAGGAGACAGGCCTCAAATCCCCTAAAGCGCCTCTATCCCAACTCCAGCCCCCACACGTCCCGGCCCTTTCTACTCTCCCCAGCTCGCGGAGCGACAGAAGCGGGGAACGCAACCAGGGGCGCGCCACTTCCTGACCGAAAGAGAAATGAGCGCGTGCCCAGCACCCGGCTCTTTAGGACGGGGAGGTAAGAGTCCGGACCGATGAAATCCGTGTAGGGGACGCAACACTAACCTGAACCGGGTCCTTCCGGGCAAGCGTCACCATCAAAGCCTTTAGGTGGGGTAAAGCCTGGAGAGACGGACTCTGCCGTAACTGCTGTCACGCCGCAGCGCCCTCCGCAATCCTCAGAACCGTCTCCGTCAGCGGGGACAACACTGGCTCCCCAGTCTTCCTGCTCACTGTAGCTCGCGCTCCACTGATCGCTGAAAAATCGCGTGCGGTGCACAGACAGCAGAGACCAAGATGACTGTCGCCAGGTGTGCGCCGGAAGTTCCGCCTAGACGGCCGTCGGTCGCACGGAAACGCCCTTTTGATTTCACAGTTCGTCGCACGCAGGGGCGTGCCACAAGGTCTTCTGGGTAATGTAGTCCCAAGGAACACCGGCCTTGGTCTTGTGGACTACCAAGTACAAGCAAAGAAACATCCAGAAGGGCTTTGAGAAAGATCGCCTGGAAACGCCAAACACTAAACAGTCCTTTTCTAGTTTCTCAGTATCGTGGGCTGAAAAGGGGTACATCCCAGCCCTTTTTTATTTTTTATTTAAGACAGGATCTTGTTGGGCTGGGAATATAGCTCAGTGGCCTAAGCACCTACCTGGCAAGCACAAGGTCGTGAGTTTGATCCCCGCTACCGCAAAAGAAAAAAAAAAAGACCGGGTCTTGTTAAATTTCCCAGACTAGGTTTCAATTTGAATTTGAATTTGAATTTGAATTTGTAATCTTCCTGTCTCAGCCTCCCAGAGTACTGAGATTGCAGGCTGTTCCCCCATGCCTACTGATCTCTCTCTTTTTTTTTTTTTTCCTTTGGAGACAGGGTCTCACTATGTACTTCAGCCTGGCCTTGAACTCGCAGTGAACTTGCAGTGATCCTCCTGCCTCAGCCTCCCAAGTGCTGGAATTACAGGCGTGTGCCACCACACCTGGCTCACTCCTCTTAGAGTTTATTGGCACAGCATATAATCCCACCCTCTAGGAGGCTAAATTCTAGCCCAAACTGGACAATTGAGCAACTTAGCAAGACCCAGTCTCAAAATAAAAAATTATAAAGGTCTGAAGATGGATATAGCTCAAGGTGAAAGCCCTGAGTTCAAATTCAATCCCCAGTACTTAGAAGAAGTATAAAGAAGAAAGAGAGAGAGAGTGGGAGAGAAGGAGAAAGACAGAGGGAGAGACAAAGAAAAGGAAGGGAGGGAGGGAGAGAAGAAGGAGAGAAGAGAGGAGGGAAGGGGAGAGGACTGGAGCGGAGGGGAGGGCAGGAGAGGAGAGGAGAGGAGAAGAGAGGAGAGGAGAGGAGAGGAGAGGAGAGAAGAAGAGAAGAGAAGAGAAGAGAAGAGAAGAGAAGAGAAGAGAAGAGAAGAGAAGAGAAGAGAAGAGAAGAGGAGAAGAGCCAGGAGTGGTGATGCACGCCTGTAATCCCAGCACTCAAGAGGCTGAGGCAGGAGGATCACTTTGAGTTTAAGGCCAGCCCAGGCTTCATTGTGAAATCAAAACCAGCCTGAACTATATAGTGAGACTTTGTCTCAAAAAAACAGAAAAAAAAATAAAAAGGAAAGGAAAGGAAAGGAAAGGAACAAAAAGACCCACTCAGATTTCCATGCATTGTAGTCTGCAAGGGATCACAACAGTGTTTGTGGATATTATTTCATGTACTTGTCAAGCTACAAAATCAAATAAGCATTCAATATCACAATGCCATTCTGAAATAAACTGCACTGCCTGTTGTCTTGTTTCTCTTCAAATATATGTAGACTTGCAGCTTTGGGTTTCGGTCTTGTCAGCTTCAGTACATTTGACGCTGATGGCAGAGATGTTGAGTCTGGATTGGGGACAAAGGCACGTCCCTGGCACTAGTTCTGACAGAAGCTTCCCAATACGTGAAGCCATTGCTTGTGTTCAACCCAGAAGCAATACTGTTTTATCCCACTAGTATTTCTTACTTAATGTTCTTACATACTTTAAAGAAAAAAAAAACAGAACTAGACTATATTTTAAATAGTAAAAGCAAATTTTATCCATAAAATATTACAGTAGAACAAGACAGACCTATGTAATCCCAGCACTCAGGAGGCTGAGGCAGGAGGATCACTGAAAGTTCGAGACCAGCCTGGGCTACAAAGTGAGCTCAAGACTAGCCTGAACTGCATAGTGAGACCCTGTCTCAAAAATACCACCAAAAAAAAAGAAGGAAAAGAAGAAGACAGACCTAACACAGAACTGGGCTCAAATCTGAACACAAAACCAGGGGTGGTGGCACACACCTGTAATCCTAGTACTCAGGGGGCTGAGGCAAAATGATCGCTGAGAGTTCAAGGCCAGCCTGGGCTACATAATGATTTCTTTGTCTCAAAACAAACCAAAATATCTCAACACAACAAATATAAGTTTGGATTTATAGAAAAGGAGCCGGACGAGGGCCAGTGGATGCAAAATACCTAAGAGAAAATATCAAGAATCATC